ATGTTAACATTTCGTTTTTATAACAGATATAGGGCTTAAATGATACTCAGTGCCGTCAGACCACTAGATATTGTACTTCATCTTTGATGCTTGAGTATTCCGCTTTTCTTCGAATGTTATAAAGATTTAACAGACCTTGATCGCATTGATCACACCTTGAATTTACTTTCAGCAAAAAAGCCAATCTTTACCGCATAGAATTTATTATCTCAGGCAGCATCATCTCGTGCTGTTAGCTCGTGTGATCATCAAACTATGGAAGAACCACTCCCAAATGTTACGTGAGCAATCGTTGGCAATGTCCAAACTCGAACGAAGTCTATGTTCAGTACACAATTTCGTGAACAAATACGGGTATGTGATACTATAGGTCATTCATATGATTGTGTCACCGCTTGTCTTGCTGTAGAAAGCTGATGTTGCCTCGGCAACACAGTTTTCCAATGTCAAGATGACTATTTTTGAAATTCCTCGGCGAGGCGACAATCGTAAGAATTCTCTTCTGGAACAACATCTATATTACGGGAATAAGTACTACCAAAAAGCCAGATCTAAGAAATAAAATTCCTGATATGGATTTCTTTGTTCAGAGATGTTTAGAACTAACTATCTATCAATGTCGACAGAAAAAAGGCTCTTTCTGATCAAGAGAGAACAAATGAAAAACCAATCTCATTCGTTGGATGGAGATTCTCATAGGAGTGTTAGTGAGCATTCGAAAGCCAAGATTAGAGGCTATAGCCCCGCGTCGCTGATTTTTTTGGAGCACCCCTTTATAACGTTGCGGCATCCAAATAAAAAATTAAGTTTCACACTCGCCTTTCGCCTTCATTTTTATTACGCGTATAACTCGCTGGAAGCCGAAAAGTATATCATTATGTAGATGATTTTCCGTAGTATCTTAATTAGTTGTTTCATCTGGAGTTTCTTCCGAAGTAGAGAATAAATTCCCAATTAAATACCAAAATATTGACTACCCGCCTCTCCCCTCTCCTGCCACGCCCCCTGCCACGACCTCGCTTTGTCGAATAGCCTGTAAACAACGTTACCAAAAATGTAAAGCTCAACCTTATTTTCCCTGCTGAGTCGTATTTCCAGAAAATAGGCAAATCGCCAGAATCATACGACATTAGATGACTACTAATAGTCAGAAGAAATAGCTCTATCAACGATGTTTAATGCACAAATCAAAAGATCGGAAGAGATCGAAAGATCGAAAGAGCTCTACAAAAAGCAAGCAAGCACATTTTTGAGTTCTTTAAAGCTTGTAACATAGTTTGAATACTAGCACTCTGAGGAAGGAGTTATATGCAGTGAAATATGAGCGAGATAAGAGAAAGAACACGTGGTTTCATGAAACATGGTTTTACTTTGAAAACTACATCGTTATAAAGGAGAACTGTAAAAAATCGGCGAAGTGGGGCTGTAGCCGCAAGTCTCAGCTTTCTAATGATTACTAACACTCCTATGATAAGTCCTTCTTCAGCGGATGAGATCGATTTTTCATTTGTTCCCTCCTAATCGGAAAGAATCAAAAAAATATTTTATTGTTTTCTCAATGAGCAGGCGGAAGGTTACTAGTCAAAGGATTTATTGAACACAGTTCGTTCATTAAAGTAATATCTAACGTTCGCGCGATATGGTCTCCCTCAAAGTCTGGAAAGGTTAACTTGGCTCAAGAGCTTGAAAAGATTATATCTACTCAGTCAAATACTCGAGCTGTTCAGCAGAAACACGTGATTAGCAAATTGTGTTCCATACAGCATACATCTCCTTCATGAAACACTCACTTTTCATTGTAATCAACTTTTCCAATCATTAACTCGGAATAAATTGTATAAAATTTTGCATGAATTAGCAATGTGCCAAGCTCAGGTTTGAAAAATGAGCGAAGTGTGATACGAGAACGTGTTACGAGATACTGCTCCTTGCGGTCCAGTTGTGAATTCTTCTTAATCATAAAAAGTTTTCAGAGTTTTTCGAGCAGATATTTTGGACATCTGGGTGGGGATACTGATTTTAACCTTCTTCGCGACACCAGTAAGAATCGCTGCGCGCAGTGCGAATCCCAGAGCGGCACGCGATTTCTGTTAAGTGGTAGTTTCATTTCCCTTTTGGAAAAAATTACCAGGTTTCTCATTTTATTTTGTCAGATCGCGATTTGCCTCACACACTCATATGCTTTTGGAGCATGCAAATCTCTGACATGTAAAGAAATTCGCTATCTACTAAGTAGTCATACTGTTTTTGCACTCAATCAATTGTAATAGGTTGTACAAAGGATAATATAATGTCTTCGAATTTTGCTAATTTTCTTGGTATCCAAAAAACAGTGCAGCGAATGAAGTTAAAAAAAACATTGATTTGTTGATCAAGAATAGTACACGTGCTGCGTGCGGCACCAATTCATCTACAACTCTCAGCAATTTTTGGATTACAAGCTCACTTCAAAAGTTGGTGCCTCATCAGAATTGTAAAACTCACTTTCTCCTGTAGTTATATATACTCGTTCCTCATATATCCACATACACTTTACTATAAAGATTATTTGCCATTGCAATCTCTGTCTCTGGACATGCCTACCCATCTTGAGCTTTCTACGTATTCTTTTAGATGCCCTCAAATTGATGGTATTTACTATATCTCGCTCAAATTCCATCCTCTCAAAAAAAAAAAATTTATTGTGACTATGTGAAAGGCGAAAACAGGCGTTTTTAGGAAAACTACTAAGTAGTGCATCTCTGCCGTTTGTTAGTTGTTGTCACTCGGAAATCGTTGTTTTCGAAGCTACGCTTTCAGAAGTAATTGACTAGGTAATTGTGAGTTGATTCAACATCCACAATCTTCCAAGAACAATAAATTTAAAAACCCCAGTACTGTGCTCAGAGAACACCGATGATGGGATAATTGGTCAGTGGTCATAGAAAGTACCCACAATCCTAAGTATTCTTTATAACGATGGGATGTGTCTACTGTAACGTAAGGCTCAGATGGAGAAAACAATCGACTTCTGAGAACTGTATATATTCGATATAGATAGCTGATTGTAGAACAGACATATCTATAGCCGTCGGTCGAATTAAAGTGGGGAAAAATGGTCTCACTTTTGAAAGATTGTGCAGTGAGTGCGCTGGAATTATGTTCATTTCCAAAGGATGTCGCTTTCACATTGAAAAGTAGGGATTGTTGCGACGGTGTGCGTCTTTCTTGCTAGCAATACCTGTGGAACTCTCCCAGTAATATGCTATTTCTTCGTACCAAGGAGACATAACAATTCTTTCAAATTCCAAGTTGAACGCTAAAATTTTTATTTACTGCTATCGAATCATTACTCATAGTTTAGTGGAAAAGCAGGAAGTACAATTTGTCCATTGTAAGGGTAACGAATTTAACGCAACAAGAGCCAATTATTGACCGTTGTCAAAGTATGAACAAAATTAAACCATTGTACACTGATGTTGATTGTTAAATATTTTTTTGTGGAAAATTTACAGCATCACTAAAACTTTCAAAATGTCGATGAAAAGTGCACTTTCTTTGGTTAACTACTCTACAATTCAATGTCTAAAAGCTTAAACAAGGCTTATACAAGCAGTATAATATAACTCCTTCGAAAAGACTCACTTCCATAATTTTACATTGTTGAAATTTCTTCTTGAATTATACTCTCACAGAATAGCCGAAAAAATCTGATAAAAGGTTGCAAAAGCATTGTTTCTCAGCATTGGAGCTTTCGTATTCAAAAGTAAAGATTTAGGGCATTTGGGCGTTCTTTTTATGTAAAATACTTTTGTGGTCGTCCTCCAAAAGCATTCCAGCTCTTTATAACGATAAAGTGCGCTCAAAATCCAGTTTTCAAATTATATAAGTGCAAAGGAATCCGATCAAACGAGAGGCTAATTACTTCAGAGGCAAATTGAAATTTAATATAAAGGTCTTCCCAGAGTTGAAGATTGGCTTCAAATTTTACATTTCTCTAGCTATTAAATGCTCACAAGGAATTAGATGCACAAGGAAAAATGCTCTATGACTGCCAGACTTATGTCTTTTTTGCAACGGTGTGATTTACTCGCGAAAACATCATAGGTTTTAGGACCTGTGAATGCAATTTTCACGAAAAATACCTTTGTGAGAGTCTTTTCTGTGATAATCTGTCATACAGCGAAACTGTCTTCCTCAAAACCTCAATTTGCCAATTGAATTTCTTTGTTTCCTTTACACCGCGCGCCAGCAATGATTATTTGACACACGGCGTGGCCATGAGTGCATGAAATATCATGCATCTGGCTCATGATAACGAAACCCCTCGAAGACAAACTAAAGTCGATAACGTCTCAGATAAGTCAACGGTCGTCGTAATAGAAGACACAGCTCTCCTTGATGTTGCGCCCTCACTATTGAAGTTGTGCTCGAGATTTCACTAGCTCTTCAAAGTTCCGAAATAGCCTTGTAGTTAACATACTGATTTTGAGAACATCGACATGAACTCTATCATAAGGCGAGGCTTGATCAACAGGTAGCCATAAGTAACAAGAAATCCGAACAGCACCGACATTGAGCGTCCTTAAAACAGTAAAACCTCATGGCGAAATAACCATAAACTTCGCAATTTCGCAGACGTGAAAATTTTGATTCCAATCGCAAAGCGCCTTAGAAAGATGGCATGCAATAGGCTCGCGAACTAGTAGGATTCAAAACTATGAGGTTATAAGTGATAAGAGAGGAATTTGCAGCAACTTCTCATTAGTTGAATATCAAGATAAGTAGGAGCACTTAAGAAAATCCTCCCACTATCAATCACCATCTGAAATGGAATTCAAAGAATAATACTAAGTTGAACAGGGAATAGGCTGAAGTGATAGGTTTGGTTGTTTTGAAACCATCAGTTATCTTTCAACTCAAAATTGATTTATCATCATGTCTCGTCTTATGCTTGTTCGTTACTCACAAAAGCTCATAAATTGAATACACCTGAGAAAATTAAGTGGTGAGCGAAAATACGACCACAGACGGGACTCAAACCCACGTTTCACCCTAACCGAGGGCGCGTGCTACCACTACACCAACAATGCACTCCTTCGGCAGCATTCACTCTTCAATATTTCAACCATTGCCATCAGCCACCAATTTTCAACGGGTCTGGTCTGGTAACTACATTCGCTTCGCAAACCTAATTAAGCTCAAAGCCACTGTGATACGTAATACTCAATATTTGATGATTTTTTACTGCCTTTTCACAATGTTATAATTTTTAAATGCGCGCCCTCGGTATGGGTGAAACGCGGGTTCAGCTCTCCCTGAGGTCGCTGCTATGCTTACCACGCAATTCACTTATTTGTATCAAAGCATCGTAACGCTGCAAAAATGCAGTGAAAACATAGGAAATCTTGAGTATTCCTCCTCATTTGGTATCCACAGATGATTTTGCGTCTACCAATCTCCCAATATCAAAGGTCATGGTTATACCCACAATCGGTCATGTTAATAGGCCGAAGAGCAGAATAATACGTTTATAAACCCTAGTACTAGTCCAGTCGTTGAAATAGTTCTAACCCATCTCGAAAACATCGCAATGTGCCTAAATCGCCTGACTAATTCGTCTCCTAACGATGCATACGTAATGGAGTCTTTTGGATGTGACTGCCCTTCATCTAAAGTGTCAACTAACTCTGCAATGCAAGCTGTCCGCGAGCTTCTCATGGAGTGCGAAAGAACTATAAACATGCATGGCTTCTCAGTTGGGTAGGTCCTGGTTTTTTCAAAAGAGTGTCCAGACTATGCAATGTTTGGATGGGAATCACTTCGTACAACGGAGAGGTTTTCATGAAATAGCGAATAGCTTTATACCTCATTCTAGCCTTCATATCCAAGGTGTAAGTACCAAAAATCGATGTTCGGCTACTACTTTGTTGCAGATATACAGTTGCTTGTTTTATCATATGCTCCACCCAAGAGCAAACGGGGAGTGTTCGGTGCTTTTGAATGAACAGTTTTGTATTTATAACTTCCTTGGCAGAAACCTGTAGCAAATTAGCGGTTTTTTTTGTTATCTAGGAACAGTTGGAGATTCGAGCGCTCTTGCTGGACAAGAACTTTCCATAAGAGAGTCATTCAAAACTAAATTATCTGACCACTGCACTACATGGCCATTATTTAAAAGCCTTTATACCGCTAAAGCAGAAAGAAAACATTTGTGTTTCACAAACGCATATTTCTCGTAGGACAGAACTGTTCATTGGAAATATGAGTGACCATTCAATAGCTCAAGTTTCGACGACTCCAGCGCTGTGCTTATTTTTTGAAAAAAAACCTTTTCCTGCAGTAGCAAAGAGAATAAGATTGAGTCATTGCGGAGTAATTGCTTATCGGCTAGTGTATGTGCTGGGTGTATTCTTGCCGTATATTCCATAGGGCAATCAATCGCGTTGGATCAACTCATATGTGAGATCAATTTTTGTCACTTTATTTGTGATTTTTTCTCCTCTTTGAAAGCAACACCAGATTAAACGCATGGCTCTGAACTCGAAGATTTGCTCTACACTTTCATATGCTTTTTGTACTTCCAGCGATGTAGCACCAGATAGTAAGGCTGTCGAACGATTGCTAAAACTCTTGTGAAAAGTTTTGTCCATTAAAAGAGATCGTTTCTTTATACCCCGATAACATAAGAGAGCAAGTGGCCTTAAGTTTTGAATGGCCACTTCAACCTATCCGAAAGCACCTACGAATCACGCTGCTACCCAAAACTATGCAGTAATGACATATCGCTTCGTAATCCTTGCTCTCATTCATCGTACATAAAAGACGCACTTGTTAAAAACATGTTTAGAAAAGCTACTATTGTGTGCAGAGGGAGAGATTATGAAGAGGAATACTTTAACCTGATATAGTCATTGCTTCAAGCTGTGAAAACGGCAGAAGCTTGGTTTAGATTTGAACGTTAAGATATGCACTATAACTATTAGTCTATCGAAAATGGGCCTCGTCCATCCTGGCCTTTATTTTCAATGAAAAAGCGCTATTTGAGTGGGGTAGGTTTGAACATATTGGTGCAATAACTGAAATATCTCCAAGAATTCTAAAGCATTAACTGGTCCATAACCGTCTGAATGACGGTCTCTACGAAACGAAGAACTGCACGTCATATGTAACGGCAGAGATAGTGATTGCACAAATGCACAGTATACCTAAACTCTTATAAGGCATGTGGAGGTGAATACATCAATGAAACGGGTGAACCGCTCTTTGTATAAAAGAACACCTACTTGGAAAACTCAGAGTCAAACAAAACACTGCACTAAAAAACATAGGGAACAAAACCCTTACAAAAAAGATCTTGATGCTGAAGTCAGTTTCCTCACGCAGAAATTCAAGATATTCAAGCGAAAAATGTTGAAGCTTATGGATGAATACAAAGAATCCAAATATGAACCACAAGAAGTATTGACTCGTGATAATGTGTGATACGCACCACACTTCAATGCTAATTTTTTCGATTTGAGCTAGGCACATTCTCATTCAAGCAGATTATTAAGCAGTTTTTCAACTAACAATCAGGAGACCTAAAAACGGCAAAATGGTGAGTATTTCAAAAAGGACCTGTTTACTATGCTAAGCCAAAAAAAGCTTATCATGTCTTTCTCCTTGATTTGTGGAGTGTTGACTGAGTAGATAAGACCTTTAAAAGATCCAAAATCAGTTTGATCCTTCGAAATTTTGAAGAAGACAATACCGCCAAGACGTCAGCTATTATTTCACCTTATCCAACTGTATTTTGTATTAAGTTGTATCCAAATCTTATTATGAGCAGCCTCGCTTCTCACCACCGAAAAAAAAGCACTTTAATATTCCCATCACTAAAAACTAGTATGTGGCGGCGTTTGCATAGATGCATATTACGCATGTTACTGTAGGTTCTAATGATGTTAGAAGGAGGTTGTATTAGGGTAAATTTCATGGATGTAAAGAATGTTAATTTTTATTTTTATTTTCAGGCCTCAGTTTGTCTTTCATATAACGAATATCAATGAGATGATTTCGATGGCAGCAAGAAATAAGGACGAAAATTTACTATTCAGGTTGGCCTGTGGCAATAACCTTGAATCCTGACAAAATCGCGTTACTTCTTCATGGTGCTCTTTTACGAATGCAATGTTATGCAGTGCTCAACAGAGATGCACAACAATGAGCTCACTAAATGCTACTAAGTTAAATTATGCTGACATCTGCACTTTGAAGAGCAATCGAATGCTAGGAAACAGCTCTATTCTACTGGTAAACTAGTGGCAAGGTGACAAAATTTTCTTCCGGCTACAAAGCAGTGACCACGTTGGGAAATAAGACGCTAAAGCCCTTGCCAGCAATCGACACCCGTGGCTGTCATATCCCAAAACATTGATATCAAGCACCTTGTACAAAAATTGTGACATCGTTTTTCTTGTCCATAGATTGAGTGGAAGAGTGTGATGACAGATCAAAAATTAGGTCAGCTGGCATGTAACAGGGGTACAGATAACATAGATGCATGTAATAGACGATCATTACCGATGGGCTCCAAATTTATGGAGTTGTGGTAAGGCTCCAAACTCGCTCAACTCTATTAGCAGTTGGAACCTTGTAAAAAAACTTCAATTAGATGTTAGCTTGAAGAATTATGATTTCTCATATGATAGTCATTTCAGTCAGCCATTTCAAACTCATCGTTTCGGCTATAAAATGACAGTGATGGTTTCACCATGTGGTGACGCAGAAGGTGAGAGTAAAAATCGCGCTAGTTTTGTTCAGGAAATATGATTCACATGCCGTCGTTCTGAATAGGTTCTAAAGTTTGATATAAATGTGCACATTATTTAGTAAAATGTGATGGTACATGGCTAAAATAGTCAGTGAATTATCTATTATAATACACTGAAAGTTGTAGAGGGCAAGTCTTATGAACAAATTAAGAATTATAACAGATTCTTTGCTCATTATTCTTTCCGAATGAAGTCTGCATATAGTAAAATGACTAGAGGTGTTTTGCAATGCACATAGTCATTGTTTCGGTCCTCTGCCTAACAGCGCGCCACTCTCTTTCAAATCGGCTAAACGTTATTAGACTTCTGTACGAATATGGCATCAGTTCAATAAACTCTATGCTATTTTGAATCACTTTGTAAGCTAAGGATGCATTCAGCCACCATTTCGATATTTAATTAACTCGAATCCATAGTGTTTAGTGAAATTTATCGACGCCAAGCATTCTAACCAAATCTAAGTCACCCTGTTCCGTGAAAACTTTATTTAAGATTGATTTAGTTGAATACTTGGCTGGCGCATCCTCATTGGTGGTGCAAGCCCCAGCATAGTTTCCAAGCCGATCGCTCTCCAGCAGCTATAGTGGTGATAGCATCGTCACTTACACGTGACTCATCCCGTAATTACAAACTATATGCCGTCTGCGGAGGTAGATGGTTGACGTTAGCCACAAACACGTCATTCTATTGTTCAATGGTCTTCCAAGAGGACGCATGCATTCTCTTGAAGTCCACTAGACTGCTCCTTTCGTTTATGTGCCACCTGCACTTTTTATAATGTGATCGCTGAATCTCTGATTCGCTACCGATGCATAACTTTATCAATTAAGAAGATGAAATAGTTGAAGAATTTGAGCTGTGAAAACCGGTTAAAAGTTGTGGATCTGACTAACTTTCAAAAGACTTTCTCATTTGCTCAAGTGTCCTGTGAGTGGTGCGCAGAATTCTTAACGTGGTTGTAGCACGAGCCCGTCTCTGCTGCTTAACAGAACGCTGGGGAACTGTTGAATCGAAAAGTGAACGCCGAGTCTGAGGTCCGCTATTTGATTAGTGGCTTCTTGAGAGGCCCGAGTGCGGCACCTTTCCTTCTTCTGTATAATTACTCCTTCATGCTGTACGCCGTACTGATTGAACGTTTGAGGTACACGATCAAGGTGGTCTCTGTAATCGGAGAATTATCCTGATCAGTTTGTTCTTCTTCGCACTAGTGATTCTTCGTTTACTGGCTCTTCGTCTTGATCATGCGTAGTACAGTCTCCTTCCGCGCTTCGTTAACTCCTC